GAAAAAAGTTTCTTTTGGGCAAAGTTTCCCCGTATTGGCTATTATAGCATTAGCCACAAGTTACTCGGTAACTTTCTGGCAACTTTTGCCACTTGAAGCAACTTTCTATTTCAGGGGCAACTTGGTTAAATTTTGAGCAACGTTTGGCAAGTAAAAAGCCCTATAGTACTGTTGTTTAATTAATTAAGTCTGGTTGTATATTCTTGTGAGAAAATTTCAGTTCTCAACCTTGTGTCCCACGAACTCCCCCCCCCCCCTTTCCCCCTTAGTTGGAGTGCCCACTTTATGAAGTCAGCAGTTCGCAAAATATTACAACCAATTTTTTTTTTTTTTTTTTCAGAAATGGCGGCAAAATTTGGCAGATAGTTCAGAGGAACAAATTTTCACGTTGACTGAAAGCATTAACAAACAAACAAACATTAACAACGCTGGCCGCACATTAAGGTATCGATTCACAGTCTTCCCAATAAATGAAAACAAAGTGAACTGTATCTGGCCTATCCTGGGACCATAAAAAGTCTTGGAAATATAATGAAAAATTCAATAGGTTTACTTTAATATAGTTTCAAATCAAATGAAATACCTTGCTGGCATAAAATTGGCGTCGAAATCAGCACTATAGCGTGCAATATCTGAGGAGAGATAGCAAAAGCTAAATATTATTCATTTGAATTCATATTGTATTAGAACAAAACATCTATGATCCCTTATTTAACAAATTTCCTCTTTATGTTTTATAAACACGTCATTCCAGAATCTTCATTTTTGAAGGAGGTGGGGATTGGTAGAAGAAAAACTGAAAGCTAACCTGTTTAAGAAACAAAGAGTTCATTACTTTTTTTAATTTTCAAGCATAAGGGTTTAATTTGATCTGATAATTAAAAGTCATATTAGTAAAATCTAACTAGTGGTCTATTATTAAGGCTGCGTTCTGATTGGTTGAGCTACTACTGGGCTATATTTTATAGCCCACTGGTAGCGAAAAGCGCCGGCTTTGAAAACCAAAACATTGGCGGCTGAATCGCGTTTTGCTAGCAACAGTTGTTTTGTCTCGATAATTTTGACCAACTAGTTGGATTTTTCTAAAACAATTATTCCTCTCTCCCTCAGGCCTCTGAGTCAATAGCCCATCCGGCCTTCGGCCTCGTGGGCTATTGACTCAGAGCCTATTCGGACTCGAGGAATAATTGTTAATTAGCCTGCGAACACAGCCTTCTTTTCTCACTCCTCGCCGCTATTCACGTGTACCAGGCGTAAAAAAGGAAAGAGGTGAGGGACTGGGACGAAGGGACAAGGGAGGAAGATTGCATTGGGTAGAGAGGGCTTGGGGAGGACAAGACTCCCTTCCCTTTTCACTTTCGCGCTTGCCTCCCTCTCCCCCTTGTTCTGTCCCTCCCCCACCCTGAGAAGATATGGCTGTATTCGCGGGCTGATATAACATGGACTGAAAGCCCAATTCAAACTTAGTGTTTCCAGCTGTTAGCCCATTCAAATACTTGTGTCGCGGGAAGTACCTCTGGTAAAAATAGGGAGCTTAAGCAACAACGACGGCGACGGCTACAAAAACGTCACTTAAAAAGTGAATTCACACCGCTTCAAACTTCATCGCGCTTATTCAATATCGTTTACTTCGTCAAATGTTGGCAAATGTTTTGGAGTTGAATTCTAAAGGACTGTATCAAAGGCCATGAAAAGAAAAGAAAGTTGTTGTCTTGTGTTCCCGTCCTCGACAAAACGTGAATTTAGGCACTTTGTAGGCTTGGTTACCAGCCGCTGTTCGGGAAAATGAGCCCGCACTCATCCCTACGAAAGAGGGAGGATCAAAGACCGGACCCGGGAGACGGCGGAAATCGAGCCTAGGCACTTTGACGTTGGAGTCGGGCAACAACGGCAAAGAAATGTACAAAAAAAGCGTGATGCACGAGCAAAGTTGTTGTTTTGCTAATCAAACCTATTGCTTTTTTGCCGTTCTCGTTGCCGTCCGCGTCGTCGTTGCTTTAAGCTCCCTAATATCATAGAATAAACTGCTCTACTGAGTGTTGTATTAATGTGTAATGAACAACCTCTTGCGAGGTTTAAATTAAGTTTTCTTAAACGCGCCGATCTAACAAATCTGTAAAATCAACTCTCATGTATAGCAAAGAACACAGTTGAAACTCTATTTTTTTTTTTGGTCAAAACATCTGCTGAAAATAAGGGAGATACGACTTTATTTTTTTTTTCTTGGTAAGTTTAACTATCCAGCCCAAAAAGCCCTGGCGGCGCCTTTTTGTCAGGTTCACAACTAGCAATGAGCATCTTTATTATTTAGAAAAGTTTTCTGACGCAAGTGCTAAACAATTTTTAGCTTCCTTTTTATGTTCTCGGTCGACAAATAGATCCGTAAGACATAACCAAAGCGAAGGACTACTCTCAGTTATCTATTTTAGTATGTTTTTTTGTTTTTGTTGTTTCTTTTCGCCTTTTTTCTTTTCTTTCACCGCAATCACCAAAGGTATCGACAACAACCCATTTGAGGCAAAAAAATCTTAAAAAAAGGCCTCAGTACCAAGCCACAATGTAGCGATTCGTTTTTTGTAAAGTGTGGTTTCGTTCTTGAATTCGGCTTGGATTTTTTTTGAAGCGTTTTCTCTCAATGTTCTTGAAAATGATTTTTTTTTTACCGGGAAGGAGTATTCAAAGTCGATATGACAAACTTATATTTCTTTGACTTAAATGATCAAAAATGGTGCATACTTGTGCCGGACGATATAGATCATGCATAAGACTGTGAAAGCGGTAGATACTAACATATATACAATGCTTCACTTCAGTCGGTCCCCAATTCATCCCGCCTAATACACCTCACTTTAAAAAAGTAATCTGCTCACAAAGCGATACAAACCAATTGCAAAAGACGAGAATTCGTAGAAGATGTGAGATATTTTCTTAGCTGGGGAGAATAAACTGACTTCGAGTCACTTTTCATTAGTTTTTAAGAGAAAACATGATAAAGGAAATTAATTTTTAATGTGAAAGTGGGTATAGAAACGTCACCTATCATCTTCAGGTCATCAATGTGCTTTAAATTTTCTTTTCAATAGTCTTGCCATTAATTCTCAGTGTATTTTTAATTTGCAAGCAAAAAATAGTGACAACAAGCATAAAGAAAATATTTTCCAGAAAAGAAAACAAACAAACGAAAACAAAAACTTGCAGGTGCAGAACTGATGAAGTTTCGGTATTTGAGAATAGGTGTATGGTTAAAACGTTATTTGAAAAATCTGAATTATTGTTTTAGATTTTTAAAAAGAGATTTGGGGATACCAATAACAATAACGCCTTTGAAATGCTTAAGACCTAGTTATATAGCTTACATAAAACATTTTTATATCAAAAGTTCTAGAAAAATCACACCATGTTAATTATTGATATGTGTGGGAGATTACTGCTCGGATCAAGTGTGTTTTGGAGTGGTACAATATAGCTGCTATCATGTCACGACCCCGCTGCCAGTCAAATGCTTATTGTTTAAGAAGCCTATTTGCCTCATTTCCTTCGAGGTGCTTAGCACACTTATTTCATAAACAATAACCAGTAACAACACATGCTTAGCCTAACTGAAAAAGGTTTAGTCATGACTGACAGGGGCAAATAAAATATGAAATTTTTATGTCAAGGCCCTGACTTAAATAATTAACATGAAAGTCGAAAAGGTGGGGAAGATAGGGGGATGGAAGCCCGGGAGATTATTCACGGTCATACGTCAGTCATTCAACCGGATTTATAAGACTAGGTTCAGTATATATCCGTGCTTCTTGCCCAGCGCGTATACCTCATTTTTCCTAACCGTCCATCAGTATTTCAGGATGTCCCAAAAGTTCGTTCCTCTAATTCCATGCACTGTAACTTTTGATCAAAACTTTATTTTTACATGAAATTTCTAGAAGATGTTTATTTCTCTATCAAGTACATGTGTTCAGAATTTCAGTAACTGGCATGCCCTTTTTGTTCTGTTACCAAAATTCTGTAGCCGTTGCGGCATGAAGTGGGATACAGCGTGTAGACCCACAAATGATCCATTTTGAGCATTTTTATCACCTGGTGCGCAGGATCCAGTTCAACCCCCCAACAATATTTATTTTGGGCATTCATCCAAAAAACACAATCATCCCGGCCCCCTTCCACAGCAAGGCTTTTGTAATTCTTTACACATTTGAAACGAGCTGGGCGTTAATTGGCGGACAAAGCAGAGGTTTTTTTGCCATCTCAGGGGCCTCTAATTTTAAACATTTCAAACAGCTTTTCATGACTCTTTTATTCGGCTTGCTAACTATGTGAGACTGAGCTTCTTTGTCTGGTCTCCTATTTTGTATCTAGCCTTCTTTAAAACTATTTTAGCTGCTTTATTCAGGGCTTTTGGTCTTCCCCTTAGTTTCTTGCCTTCAAAACCTTCATTTCTCCATGATCATTCTACCACCCAACATTCGAATTTTTCCAGTTTTTTAGCAATTTCTACAACAGATAAGCCAGTAAATCGAAGTATACAGGCTTATGCTCTCACGCAGCTGAACGTTTTTGCGTTAAGGGGGTTTATCTTTCGTGATATTCACAAAAAACAAGGAAGGAGTTCGAGCAATTCGGGCTATGAAATACAAAAAATGTGTGGCTGGAAAATATACTCGCGCACGCGCACCTTTGGCGCGGAAGTACACAAATCGAATATTCGAAGATGGCACAACAAGTATGAAAATAGTGAATCACATTGAAAGACACAACTTTTGTTGAAATGATTTGCTTACCAAGTCCAATCGTTCTGAAATACAGACCTATAAAGTAGAGGAACGAACTTTTGGGACACCCCGTAGTCGTGTTTCTATTGAATTGCAGAGGCAGGCAGGAGCTCATCATAGGCTCCTGAGGCGAGGTATTCTTGACACCGCACGGTCAATGTTGTCACGTGGTCAGAGCGTTCGTCTCACATTGTTAAAATTCATGATCACAATGTGGAAGGTTCATACTCGTTCCCAGTCCCCACTATGAGCTATTTGAAGCGATAAATAAATATATCACATACCCCGGAGGGATAGGTAGTGGTAGATAACAGCCTTATTTTTTACTTGTGAGGTTTCCCCAGGAGTGGTGGTGGTAGTAGGGGGAGAGGAGGGGTTTACTCCGGACTTCAAGTAACGAGAATAATCGAATGGGGGCAAAAATCAATACCCTTCCGGCAATAAAATCCCTAGGACTTCTCCAGTAAAACCAAAAAAAAAAAATCCCTGGACCAGACGTTAACCCCCGAAAAATCCCATGCCGAATTTCCGAGCCTTAACTCCAGCAATTAAAGCATTACATGTTGTACTTTAATTGTTTGTACTTTATTCGCAGAACTACGTCGCCAGGATACGCGCGCGGGCACTATCACGAATGTTCAGATTGCTTTGAATAAGCAAAATACACTCTACTTAATTATACCACCCCCAAAAAATGTTTGCCAAGAATAAAAAATTTCAATCCCGCCAAAAAACACCTTCGATCATCCGCGTCGCTTGAAATCTGGAGTACCCCCTGGGGAGGTTTTCTAAAGCAAAACGCTTTTTTAAAGCTGTAAATTAATTCTCTAGAGATGCTTATTCCCAAGAGCCTCGAATTG